TCAGTAACATACTGAAACATTTTAATTTCATAATCTTGTAAAAATAAATAAATAATTATTAATTTATATACTTTTTAAATCAGTATAATTTTTCTGCGTTTCATACAATATTTATTCAAAATAGTTTCGGTGTTTATTTGATTGAATACATTTTTTTCAGTACTCAACAAAGATAAATAATGGATTATATTTACGACCAAATAGTTATACATTTTTTCAGGAAATTTTCCATCATTTAAAAACATAAAATTCGTAGTATTTCACTAAAATAATAATAGTTAGATATAAAAAACAAGGGGTACTAAATTTTAACTTAGGGGTGCTAAAGACCTTTTTGCACCCCCCTAGTTGCCCCACTGGCAGTAAGGTTCATTATTTAGGTAATTCGCAAACCGTAGGCCGTAAGGTACGAATGAAAGATATCTATAGATACCACAAACGTACTAAACGTTTTGTAAAAAATTGAACTTTAAATACTTATGAACAAAATCGTACCTATATAAATCTTTAAAATTTATCAACTTCTATTATAATTTATAACTACTTATAAATAATTTAATCATGTAAAATGTATATAATAGACAATAGTATTAAATTTCAAGGTTTTTGACCCGACAAATAAAATTTTATTGACATTTTATAGAATAAAAAACAAATTACAAATGTCTATAAATAACTCGAAATATTTTGAAAATTTTATCATGTAATGAAAATAATAATATACATATTTTATGAAGTATAAATAACCGATGGTTATTAGTTATTATTTTTTGAATGAGAAAAAATAAGAAAATCGTTGTTTGAGAATTTGTTAATTAACGGCTGAATATGCAATGTTTGTATTCAGACGCTAGTGAAAGATTAATTTACTAACTTACATAACTTTTTTTGTTTGCTAAATCCAGGAAAACTTAAAGGAAATCTTGTATTAGATTTTCGAAACTTAGATTTAAAAAGAAATTTTTTATTAATTTCTAACTCAGAATAATTTTCAGATCATGATTTTTACAAACTTTGTAAAAATCCTAAATTCAATCACTCATAAAAAAATATTCAAGTTTTCTAACCGAGTGAAAATTTTTAACGACAACAATTTTAAAAACTAATAATATTCGAAAATTTCCTATGACCATAAAAAGCCCTGAAAACTTCATGATGGATAGAAAATGTGAATATAAACATTCTGTGAAAATTTAATATACCTATCATCAAAAATACATGATTATGGAAAATATGTGGAAATTATAGGGGTCACTAAAAACTAAAATCGATTTTGTCAAAAAGCAATTTTGCGTAAATTCACAATTTTTTTTCTTAATTTTTTGTTTGTTTATTCATATTTTTGAAAACTATTGAGAATTTTTAACTTTTGACTCTATACTATAGAGTCTATAGCCAAACTAACCAACTAGATTCATTTTGACTAAAACTAAAAACACACATAGTAAAATCAATACATGCATTGCTGAGCTCTGCTGCAGAATCTAAAATGTTACCTACCTAAAAAATGAACTATCGTAAAAAATCCCACTTAATAACACAGATAATGTTCTAAACCAGTGTTTTTTGACTTGTGTTCCGCTAAGTTTAAAATCGCAATAAAGAGAGACCGCAGGTGGTCGGTACTCTAAAGATAATTTTCAAAGGGGTTCCGCATGGAAAAAAAAATTATTATTTGGTGTTCCGTGATATACTGATATCCAAAAGGTTGAGAAGCACTGTTTTAAACAGTAAACATCAAGTTAAATACTAAGTCGATGTACTCTAATTTCAAATTAACGAAGCTATAAACGTTATCTGCTGAGCGTAAATTTGGTTGTTATGTATGCATTTGTAAAACGGAAACAACAAATGTCCGAATAGCGTCCTTTTTAGTGGTTTATTATTATTATTATTATTATTATTATTATTATTATTAGCTATTACTGCTATTAGTAAACAGTAAACACTATTATTTTTCGGTGATTATTAAGGAGAAAAATAAGAGGCTAGTAAAATTAATTTAAATCTTTTTTCACAGTAGCAAAATCGAAGATATACACTTA